GTCTTCCTCACACTCCATGTCTTCCTCACACTCCATGTCTTCCTCACACTCCATGTCTTCCTCACACTGCCCATTGTATCGCATGCATCCTGCCAGGTCGTGGAGTATCCAAACAAATCTAAGGATGAGATCTTGGACACATGCGGTCCTCTATATAAGGTGATTTTATAGTTTCTGTTGCGTAGCGCATCTTTTTTCTTAATCCTTCCCATCATCTATGCCTGTGTTGGCTGCCATGCGCGACACTCCACTCCTCCCTCCTGTGCTGAACATGGCGTTTCTCCCTACTTCATGCTGTTCAGATCACTTCATGCTGTTCAGATCACTTCATGCTGTTCAGATCGCTTCATGCTGTTCAGATCGCTTCATGCTGTTCAGATCGCTTCATGCTGTTCAGATCGCTTCATGCTGTTCAGATCACTTCATGCTGTTCAGATCACTTCATGCTGTTCAGATCGCTTCATGCTGTTCAGATCACTTCATGCTGTTCAGATCACTTCATGCTGTTCAGATCAATGATCAAAAGTATGGGCGAATCCGAGTGAACACCAGTTAGGTGTCATAGGGTCGATATGTGGCAGCAACTTAGGGATGAACACTCCACTCCTCCCCGCTGTCCTGTGCTGAACATGGCGCTTCTCCCCACCCCGTTCCATGCTGCGCAGATCAAGGATCGGAAGTATGGGCGGACCAACGTGGCCATCTATGGTCCTGCATGGGCCCTGGGAGACGATGTGCAATGAATGATGCCAATGGCAATGATGGCACTCAGGGGCAGGCTGAAGAATTACAGATTGATCAGGGCTGGCATGGCATGTACCACTTTACCTCAGTGACCGTCTGTACTGGGTACAGTACCGTAAGTTGTAATTGCAAGGCTGCTGTGATCATAGTTCATTCTCTGTTTACCTCGTATAGTGCCGTAAGAAATGCAGAAAAACAAAAAAGACACTGGTTTGGTGGCCCACTGTGGTAACCACATACCGTATCAGAGTTTTATAAAACTTGAATTTTTGCAGATGGACCACACCTCACCTCATAGTTCCAACATCACTACACTCTGGGCATGCAATACTAGAACAAAACTAGTTAAAGCTAAGTCGCAGCACCATGCCCTTCTTGGCACAATCCTTTCCAACCGTGCTATAGTACAAAACATCCCCAATGAGCAAGATAGACTTCTTAGCCTTGGCGGTTGCCTTAACATCCACCTTATCGACAGCCTTGGTGTTGCATGCGTCCAGTGCGGTTCTGTCTTTGGCGGTCGCCAGATTGTGCTTCTTGCGAACCACCTTGTTCCAGCAACTCTGGCCCCACTTGAAGACTGCAGACGGGTAAAACAGGCGGAGATGAGATGAGAGATCGGAAGCAGACATCTGCGATGGTTGCATTGATAGATAATAAAACATGCGGAACCTGCCAACGCAGCAGGTCGACGGCGTGCCAACAATGCAGTGCGGTTGTCCAGCGTTGCACCCGTAGATGGCAGCAGTGCGCACGCTTGCAGGTGCGCGCGGACGATTGGCCCGACTTGCATCGTTGTGCATCCGTCGGCTGATGTCTGCGCCTGACGAGCCACATTGACTTCGGGATACCAGCCCGAAGTCACCTTCGCCATCGCAACATCGACAACGTTCGCGTGCCTCCGCAGAACTCGTCGAGTAGGTTACCCGGTCGACCTGGACACCACCAAGTGCACTGGTCGACCACAGCTCCCTCTGGTCTGGTCGACCACAGCTCCCGTCGAGCTACCCCCTGGTCGACGGACCCCTTCCGTCGACAGAACTATCCCCTGATGTCGCCAAGCTCCCCTCGTCGACTGCTGCTCACTTGTCAGGTCAACGGACTGCTCCGTCGACCTCCCAGTCGAACTGCAGGTCGACGGACCGCTCCGTCGACCTCCCGGTCGGCGGCCCACCCGTCGCCCAGACCAGTCAGTTACAGTTGTCGAGCTCACTAGTCGACATCAACACCACAGCGGTCCCTTGCAGCTCGACGAAGCCTGTCAAGCAGCTCTCCTACTGTGAACGGTCAGCTGCAACTCTCGTACATCCGACCAAGTCGTTGGCGTTGCCCAAGCGAGGGCGGGGCCAACACTCCACTCCCGTTAACACTCCCCTGCCGCGCTCACACTTGAGCCTCCAGCCCACACGGCGGTACTCCACGGAGAAAACTCGTCCTTGGCGTGCACCCCACACACAGCACGCCGTCACCGCACTAGCCGTGCAGAAAAGCACGGCACCTAGTACTGTACCCCATCGTCACCGTCGCCGATGTCGGCAAGGCGAACTTGGCCGATGGCGACAGAGCACCGGTTGAAAGCCGGAAAATGCAGCGCCTTCGTCAGGAAGTCAGCCGGCTGCTCGGTGGTCGGGATGTACTTCAGCACGAACTTCCCGCGCCTCACCATGTGCTGCAGCCAGGCGTAGCGTCTCTCCATGTACTTGAGGTTGCCTGTCAGCCCCAAGCCTTCAGCGACCGTGATCGCCGACTTGTTGTCCACACGGAAGACAGTTGGCTTCCCAAGGTCGAGCAGCTTGAACTCCGCAAGAAGGAAGCGAAGCCGACACCCCTCCTTGCCGGCTTCCATGGCCGTGACGTACTCCGACTCGGTTGAGGAGAGCGTTGCGTACTTGATGTGCGAGCTCGACCAAGAGACGGCGACCCCTCCGTAGACGAACACGTAGCCGCCCGTGCTCGTCCGGTTCTGCTTGTCGCTCGCATCATCGACGTCCACGTAGCCGATCAACTCCAGCGACTCTGGTCCACCGCCGAACTCCAAGGCGGTGTCGCGGGTGTCGTAGAGGTAGGCGAGGCAGTGGTCGACCTCGCGCTAATGCTGGTCGCTCCTCACCGTGAGGCCGCTCCCCAGCTTGCTGCAGGCAAATGCGATGTCCGACCCCGTCGTCGTCGCTGCGAACTGCAGCGAGCCGACCTCCCGCCGGTACTCCTCCTCCTTACGCTCCTTGGCCTCCTCGTCGTCGAACGTCAGCTCAGCGTAGGCGTCGACTGAGACCGGCGTCTTCGAAACTCGACCGCCCTGCTCCTCGTCGATGAAGCGTCTGCGCAGCTTGTCGGCGTAGTTCTGCTGGTGCAGCCACAACTTCCTCACTGGCCTGTCGCGCACGATCTCCAGCCTGAGGTACTTGACGACCGGCGAGATCTCGCACAGCTCGAAGGCAGCCTCCAGCAGCTCCTTCAGCTCCTTCAGCATCGTGGTGCTGCTGCTGGCGGCGAGCAGGTCGTCGACGTAGACCAGCACCCAGCAGGTCACTCCGTCGTTGCCGTCCTTGAAGTAGAGCGCCGTGTCGACATGGCTCTTCTTCCAGCCAGCGCCCAGCAGCACACTGTCGAGAGCCCTGTACCACAGGAGCGGCGAGTGCTTCAGCCCGTAGAGGCTCTTCAACAGCTTACACACCCGGCCGGTCCCATCGTCGAAGTAGTCCGGCTGGTACATGTAGAGCACCATGTCGAGCTTGCTCTGCAGGAAGACGTTCTTCATGTCGAGCTACATCAGGTTGAGGTCGAGGACGGCGACGATGCTGAGGAAGACCCTCAGCGTGACGTAGCTGCTCACCGGCGAGTACGTCTCGTCATAGTCGGCACCGTACACCTGCGTGAAGCCCTTCACGACCAGCCTCGCCTTCTCGCGCTCGACGGTGTCGTCGATGCGGTACTTGGTCGTCAGCACCCACCGGTTTTTCATGATGTTCACCCCGTGTGGGACCAACTCCCAAGTGCCCATGCCGATGAGGCTGTGAATCTCTTCTTCCTGGCGGCCTTCATCGCCTCGCCCTTCCAGCTCGCCAGCGCCTCCTTCACTGTCATCGTGGCGATGTCCCAGCGGTGTTCGAGGTCGGCATGCACGTCGGGGTCGAGCTCCAACAGGTCCTCATCCTCCTCGGCCTCGTCGTCGTCGACCTCATCATACACCGTGGTGAAGGCAGCTGGTGGCAGGCAGGCGTGGAAGCTCAGCCGCTCCGGCGGCCCTCGAGCTCGACCAGAACGCCGCAGCTCCGGTGCAGACTTCTCGACCGGAACCTCTACCACATCACTGTCGGTGGATTCCTCTCCCGCCGACAGCTCCCCTGCCTCGTCGACGTTTGCATCGTCGACCGGCTGCTTCGACCCTTCGATCGGCTGCTCGCCTGGTGCTGACTTCGACAGCTCCCCTTTCGTCCGCACCCGTGCTGCTGCCTCATGTTCGACCGGCTCCCCTGTCTGGTGCTCCCCTGTCATCAATGGCTTCCGGTCCTGGTCGACGAGCTTGGCGCCTTGTTGACCGCCAGCGGCCGGAGCCACAGGCGACGCCTCAAGGCTCCCCTCATTGCCAGTGGCCGACACAGGTGTCGACGCAGGCCGATCTGCGACGGGGGATGGAGGAGCAAGAACAGGGGGAGGTGGAAGAACCTCCACAACATCTTAATCAGCATGATCGTCAACGTCGGCGAGCAGTGGAATTGTCGCCGTCGAGGTGTCCGTCGGCGGGTGTGCCTGCTTCCGCCCCGACGCCGGCCCATACTTCGCCTTCCACACCTCCACCGACAGCGTCTCGAAGAAGATCACCTCGACCGATGTGACTACCTTGTTGTCGGTCAGGTCGAGCACCTCCCAGCCCTTGCTCTCCGGCGTGTTAGAATGTAGAACTGAACGAGAATGTGTGAAACTAGGCAGCAGGGTGATACAAGTAGGAAACCCTAGCAATGTTGTACCCCCTAAGGCTAAACCCACTATAGCCTACACAATATGAACATGTATAATGTTTGACACACCCCCATAGGCTAAGTGGGAGACAACCAGATGGTCACAAGACCAGTCAAAGCAAAGCAAAGCAAGCTCAGGGTGGATCTCAAGGAAACCACACAAATTCCGAGCACAAGCAAGTGGTCACAAGACCAGTTCACATGCAGTTTGATAATATAACAAGAGGTACAGTGATCACAACCTAACAAGAGTAAACATGCAGGTATATATATATAGAGATCACAGTACAAGCAGAGTCAAGAAGTGAGCAAGTGAGGGAGAGTAGGCACAAGGCCTAGAACAGTACAGAAACGCTGATGGTCACAAGGCTGAAGCGCCTTGGTGAACACATCAGCAGTGTTGGCCCGAGTGGCCACGTAACGCAGACGAAGCTGACCACGCTGCTGCAGCTCTCGAGCAAGGAAGTAGCGCAGAGCGATGTGCTTCGTCCTGTGCTCCAGTCTGTGCTCCTCACACAAGGCAATGGCGGCCTTGTTGTCAACGTACAGCACTGGAGGAGAACGAGGCCGCTCTCCCAGGTCGGTCAGCAGGTAGGTGAGCCAGCGTAACTCCTGTGCAGCCATGGCTGTGGCGTAGATCTCAGCCTCACAACTGGAGCTGAGAACAGAAGAAGAGCGAGTAGAACGCCAAGAAACTGAACCAGAGCCAAGGCTGAAGGTGTAACCCTGAGACGACCGCTGCGTAGCCTGGTCGTCAGCCCAAGAAGCGTCTGAGTGACCCGTGAGGACAACGTCACTCCGACCTCCAAGCACGAGCCCCATGCCCGACGTACTGCACAAGTAGCGCAACACCCTCTTAGCGGCATCCATGTGCTCCTTCCGGTGACGGCCGGGAGCGACATAGCGTGCTAGGATGCTAAGAGGGTATGCCAGGTCAGGTCGAGTGCAGGTCATCAGGTACATGAGGCAGCCCACAAGCTCTGGATACGGGCCACTCGGCTCTACGGACTCATCCGAAGGCAGAGCTGAGAGCGAGTGACCGGTAGGCAGAGGAGTGGGCTGAGGCGAGGAGTACGTGAAGCGGAAGCGCTGAAGGACCTGCTGCACCATGTGTGACTGAGTCAAGGTGATGGTGCGCTGTGCTCTGTCCCGGGTGATCCGCAAGCCAAGATAGCTTGTCAGCTCACCCAGGTCTGTGCACGTGTGTCTCTTCTACAGCTCCGACTTCACGTGGGCGAGTGCCTCAGTGTCAGCAGTAGCAAAGACCAAGTCGTCTACGTAAACAAGAACGTAGAACGGCGGCAGAGTGGTGTCGGTGCGTAGAAACAGCGACGGGTCAGCAGTAGAAGGAGCAAACCCAAGAGCAGCAAGAGTAGTCCTCAGTGTGTCGTGCCACTCACGGGGTGCCTGGCGGAGACCGTAGACTGGCCGCCGGAGGCTCCACTGGGTACCAGGAGGGAACGACCCAGTGAAGCCAGGTGGGCGGCGCAGCCAGATCTCCTCGTGCAGGCTGCCCTGTAAGAACGCAGTGCTGAAGTCAAGAGAGTGGAGCTCGTAGTCACGCTGAGCAGCGACGTGCAGCAGAACCCGAAGAGTGGTCATCTTCGGGGTCGGGGAGAAGGTCTGGAAGAAGTCAACTCCCTCTCGCTGACTGAAGCCTCGTGCAACGTAACGCGCCTTGAAGACAGGCGGAGAACCCGGCGGCCGCTTCACCCTGAAAATCCACATGCCACTGACGATGTTCGCCCCAGGTGGGGGAACCTCGTCGACGTAGGTGCCTGTGGACTTCCAGGATGCCATCTCTCCGTCCATGGCTGTCTGCCACTGAGAGGAGTAGGGACCCTCCATCGCCTCTGCGTAGGAGCGTGGGGTCGAGATGTCTGGTGCATCCGGGTCTCCCTCAGGGGCAACTAGCATGGACACGAGATGAGGCAAAGCAGCGGCAAAGCACTCAAACTCCTCCTGTCTGTCCTCAAGGACGTCCGTGCCAAGAGCACACTCACCCCCGACAGACGGAGGACAGACAGACTCAGACTCAGACTCAGCAACAAGGCTAGCGGCGTAGTCTAGACGACAGGCAGCAGCAAAGTCAACAAGCTCAGCGACTAGAGCAGACGCAGCAGAGGACTCAAAGGAAGGGTCAGTGACAGCAGTGGCAAGGAGACGCGTGACAGTAGGACTGGCAGCACGAAGAGAGTCAGACTCCGGGTCAGCAAGAGCAGGAAGAGAGGACGCTGGTGGAGACGGCAGTGGGACACGCTGTGGAGCAGTAGAGGGACGCAGGGTCATATAGTGAGTGCCAAGGACAGGAGGAGGACGCTGACGTGGAATACGACGACCAGCGCGGACAGCGCGGACAGGCGACTCTGGATGCGTCTCAGGCGACGGAGGACGAGACTCAGGCTCACGACGCTCCGTAAGACCTCCCGTCGGCGCAGTGTAGGGAGAAGGACCAGGAAGTGGAGAGACTGGCTGTAACTGTGACTGCGACTGGACAAGCGGTGGACTCAGTAGGGGAGGAGTAGGACCAGGAGAGGGCGGAAGGCCAAGAACCTGCTGAAGGAGCGGAACGTAGTACGGCCGTGGCCGCTCAGCACCTCCAGCTCCAACCCCCTCAGCAGGGCCAGTCCCAGCAGCTCCAGCAGCACCGCCAGCAGCAGCAAGGTCCCCAGCAGCTCCAGTACCAGCAGCACCTCCAGCAGTGCCAGCAGCACCACCAGCAGCAGCAGCACCTCCAGCAGCTCCAGCAGCACCAGTACCAGCAGCACCTCCAGCAGCGCCAGCAGCACCGCCAGCAGCAGCAGTACCACCAGCAGCTCCAGTAGCTCCAGCACCAGTAGCACCTCCAGCAGCGCCAGCAGCACCAGCAGCACCTCCAGCAGCGCCAGCCGCACCGCCAGCAGCAGCAGCACCTCCAGCAGCTCCAGCAGCACCAGAACCAGTAGTACCTCCAGCAGCGCCAGCAGCACCTCCAGCAGCAGCAGTACCTCCAGCAGCTCCAGCAGCACCAGCAGCACCTCCAGCAGCGCCAGCCGCACCGCCAGCAGCAGCAGCACCTCCAGTAACTCCAGAAGCTCCAGAGTCCACGACACCGGGAGCGCCACTCCGGAGACTGCAGCGCCTAGCGTAACACTCTCGGAGCTGCTGGGGAGAGGGCAGCTCCCGCCTAGGAGGGGAAGCACTAGCACCAGCTCCGGCACCACTCCGAGCTCCAGAAGCACCTCTCCTGAGGCTGCAGTACTGTAAGTACCACTCACGCAGCTGCTGCGAGGAGAGGCCTCCCCCAGGTGCAGCACGCTCAGGCTCAACACTCTCAGACGTAGCACTCCCAGGCTCAGCACCCCCAGGCTCAGCACCTCCAGACTCAGCACCCGCAGGCTCCGCACCCCCAGGCTCAGCACCCCCAGACTCAGCACCCGCAGGCTCCGCACCCCCAGACCCCGCAACCCCAGGCTCAGCACCCCCAGACTCCGCAACCCCAGGCTCCGCACGCTCAGGCTCAGCACCCCTGGCAGGACGAGAGTCGACAGCTACCTCGACAGGCTCAACCGGGTCTACCTGGGACACACCTGAGGGAGCGGCACCCTGAGGGGGGAGGGGGTCTACCACAGCAGCACCTGGCGCGAGGAAGAGAGGCGGGGGGGGGAGCGGGGCAGTGCGGTAGGGGAAGAGGCGGTAGTAGGGCACGGACTCGTCAAAAGTGACGTCCTGAGAGGGCAGGACACGGCGCGAGGTGGCGTGGTAAAACTGCCAACCAGACGCGTCCGGGACAAAGCCAAGGAAGACACAGGGAACAGCGCGGGAGGAGAGCTTGTCCGCGAACGTATCGCGAACAAAAGCTCGGGACCCCCAGACCCGAAAACGCGACGCATCGCCAACCTCTCCCGTCCAACGCAGTGTCGGCGAAGTCTCCGGAACGGAGACACGGGGCCAGAGGTTGAGCTGATGCGCAGCGTATCGGACCGCAAACGGCCACAGAAAGTGGGGGGCAGCCGCATGGATCAAGGAGGTACGAGCGACCTCCATGACCAAACCAATGCGGCGCTCAGCAACCCCATTCTGCTGTGGAGAGGCCGGAAGCGTGAACGACTGGCGGATGCCGTGCTCCACACAGTAGGCTGCCAAGAGGTCAGAGGAGAACTCACCACCTCTGTCAGAGTGCAGACGCAGGACAGGAAAGTCCGAGTGGAACCGCTCACTGAGCTGGAGACGAGCAGCGCGGATCCAAGGGATCAAAACATCAGGGACCTCACCCTTGGTGCGCAAGGGGAAGACCGTGGTGTAGCGCGAGTAGTCGTCAACAATGATCAGGAAGTACCTCTCCTGACCCTGTCCACGGACGCGGGCTGGGCCCCACACGTCCATGTGGAGCGTCTGCAAGGGAGCAGTCGTCGGGGGAAACGAGGAGGAGTGAGGAGCGGCGCGCTGCCGCCCCTCGACATAGGGAAGGCAGGGAGGAGCAGGCGAGGGTGGGAGTGGAGGGAGAACCCTGGGAAGACCAGAGACAAGGTACCGGTTGTGCATGGCACGAAGGCGCTGCACTGACGGGTGACCAAGACGGTGGTGCCAGAGGACAGTCTCGTGTGCCAGAGAGCGACACGAGCAGGGGGCAGACAGCTGACCCGACGTAGACGCAGACGCAGCTACCTGTGGGGACTCAGTGGTCAGTGTGTACAGGTCCGACCCCGGCTGCCGAGTGAAGGTAGCCAGGTGGCGGCCCGTCCGAGCGCACGTGCAGTGTGTCACACGCTCGTAGGCAGGGGTAAACTGGTGGACACCCCCGTCCTGGAGCGCACTACCCGCCACCAAGTTCGTAGAGAACGAGGGGAGGTAGAGACCTGACAGAGTGCCCGACGGGACCGCAGGACAAGGGAGAACAGTAGAGGAGGTCGCAATGACCGGACCCCCAGAGGGGTCAGCGAGGGAGACTGCAACCGGCCGAGCAAGCTGCTCAAGGGCAGTGCGGTCATGAAAGAAACAGCGGGAAGCGCCTGAGTCCAGTGTGAAGGTGTGCAGTGCCTCAGTAGACGCAGTACCAGAGGGCGCAGACTCACGAGTACCTAGAGCAGCAGCCTCACCAGCACCTGGGGCAACAGACACACGAGCACCTAGTGCAGCAGCCTCACCAGTACCTAGAGCAGCAGACTGGATACCGGGGTCAGGCGGCACACACAGGTGACAGGCACTCTCAGCACTAGTAGGAAATGCATACATGGCAGTGAGGATAGCATCATAGTCAAGAGCATAGATATCTACCCTCTGCCTAAGCAGCTCCACCCAGTCGGGGAGCTCAGCCGCGTCGCCAAACTCTGTACGCCAGGCGTCGCTCAGACGGGCGAAGCAGCGGGACTCTGTGTGACCAAACGTCCCGCAAGGCTGACCAGTCCGAGCACCAGTGCGAATGACGTACGGGCAGCGAGCAGTACCCCGTGACCCTCCACGCTGAGCGTACCACTCACGAAGCTGCTGGGGCGTGAGGGACTCACTCGGACGTCGCGGGAGCTGCATCTGGCCACCGCCAGGAGCAGCAGTAGCAGTAGTCGTAGCAGTAGTAGTAGCAGCAGCGCGGCCACCCCTACAACCCCAACCAGCATACCACTCACGAAGCTGTTGGGGCGTGAGGGACTCACGCGGACGGCGCTGGAGCTGCATCTGGCCACGCCAGGAGCAGCAGTAGAAGTAGAAAGAGCAGTAGCAGCAGGAGCAGCAGTAACAGCAATACGGGCAGGGCAGTGCTCACCAGTGGCGAGAAGGGCAGGCGTACGACGGTGGTAACGGCGAGGCCGCTACCACTGCAGGGCGAGGGCTCCGCGGCAGCTGCAGGGGCGGCTGCTCCAGGGGCCAGGGGCGGCTGCAGAGGTCCAGGGGCGGCTGCTGCAGGGGCAGCTGCTGCAGGGGCGGCTGCTGCAGGGGCGGCTGCTCCAGGGGCGGCTGCTCCAGGGGCCAGAGGCAGCTGCTCCCTTTTTTTTTTTTTTTTTAATAATTAATTATTTATTTTAGGGTTTGGCAGAGCGCACTCGGCGCTGTAGAGGCGGCTCGCGGGCTGCAGGGTGGCTCGGGCAGCAGCGAGGGGGGGGGGGGGGGGGGGGGCGGCGCGCGGCTCCCCAGGGCGCCGCGACGGGGCAGCGGGGGGGGGGGGGGGGGGCGCGCGCGGCTCCCCAGGGCGTCGCGACGGGGCAGCGGGGGGTCGCGCGCGGCTCCCTAGGGCGTCGCGACGGGTCAGCGGGGGCCGAGCGCGGCTCCCCAGGACGTCGCGACAGGGCAGCGGGGGCCGAGCGCGGCTCCCCAGGGCGTCGCGACGGGGCAGCGGGGGCCGAGCGCGGCTCCCCAGGGCGACGCGACGGGATAGCGGGGGTCGCGCGCGGCTCCTCAGGGCAGCGCGACGGGGCAGAGGCAGCGCCCACGGGCGACACGCGGCTCGGCAGGGCAGCGCGCTGGCTGCAGGGGCGGCTCTCGGGCCTGACGGGCCTGCAGAGGCGGCTCGGGGGGGCCTGACGGGTCTGCAGAGGCGGCTCGGGGGCCTGACGGACCTGCAGGGGCGGCTCGAGGGCCGTACTAGCTTGCAGGAGGCAGCGCGAGGGCTGCAGGACGGCACGCGGGCAGACCGAAGGGCAGGTCGCACGGGGGCGCACGAGGGCGCACGTAAGGTAGGGCGCACGAGGGCGCACGAGGGCGCACGAGTATAGAAAGGCGCACGAGGGCGCACGTAAGGTAGGGCGCACGAGGGCGCTTCTAGCGGAATAGTGGGCCCGTAGGAGAAAGCGGTCCTAGGTAGCAACCTAGGCTCGTGATACCATGTTAGAATGTAGAACTGAACAAGAATGTGTGAAACTAGGTAGCAGGGTGATACAAGTAGGAAACCCTAGCAATGTTGTACCCCCTAAGGCTAAACCCACTATAGCCTACACAATATGAACATGTATAATGTTTGACACGGCGACACACCCAGGTGAAGCCCCCAGCGAGCTTTCGGCGCCAGCTTCCCACCGCGCTGCTTCTCGGGAACCATGAACTGCACCATGCAGCCCCACACCCGCGCCAGCGTAAGGTTGGGCGTCTTCCCGGTCAGAAGCTGGTACGGCGTCGTCCCGTCCAAGCAGTTGGGCACCCAGACAGCCTGTCGAAGAGCGAGGTGCCACAAGTGGTGCTGCACACCTATGTGCAGCAGCATTGTCCGCACAGACTCAACGACCGTGCACATCTCCAGCTCAGCCATGCCGTTCTGCTGCGGAGTGTAGGGGCACGTCAGGTCGTGGACGATGCCCTTCCCGACGACAAAGTTGGTGAAATCCTGTCCGAGGAACTCCCCTCCCCGGTCTGAGCGAAGCGACAGCATGGACTTCTTTGTCTATCGTTCCACCAGCACTAGCCACTTCTGGAACTCCCGCAGCACGTCGCTCTTCTTAGCGACCGGCATTGCCCACACGAACCGAGTATGGCGATCCTTCAGCAGCAGAAAGTACAAGCTGCCATCCTTGGCAGCCACCTGAAATGGCCCGCACAAGTCAATGTGCCGCGCCAGCTTTCCTCCGACGCACGAGACACACGGCGGGTCTGCTCCAGTCGACGGCGTGATGTCGAGCCCAACAGCTACTTCATGCTTCGCCGAGCTCTTGATCGTGTCGACGCCGACGTGCGCGAGCCTCGCATGCAACCGTCCGCAGAGACGATCGTCGACTTCGTCGCTGAGACAATCGTCCGCAGAGCCACCACTTCGGTCGACGGCGACCGCGTCGAGTAGGGGCGAAGGTCGGTGCAGAGGACGCATCCAGTGTAGCATGCTCGAATGAGCATCTCCCCGGTCGCGGCGACGAGCAGCATCTGGTCGCCGTCGCCCTGCAGCTGCACTCTGCTCTCCTTTAGTTGGCCAGCTGACAGCAAGTTTGCCTGTACGCCCGGAACGTAGAGCACGTCGGGGATGAGGACCTGCTTTCCGGCCTCCCCTTGTAGAGTGACGGTTCCGCGACCCTCGACAGGCTGCAGCGCCCCGTTGAATCCACGCACGTGCTTCACTCTGTCGCTTGTCGCCATGTCGACGAAGACCGCCTTCGTCCCCATCAGGTGGTGAGAGCACCCGCTGTCAAGCAGCACCGCGATCGGGTTGGCCTGCACAGCTGCCGCCACCGCCTGGAAGTCCTCGCCAGCCTCCGGCGCCAGCGAGACTGTCGGCTCCATCACGCCGACCATCGAGTACGACGCCTCCCCGTCGCCTCGGCCCTTGCCGCCGGAGGTGTTGACGTCCTTTGTCGACGACGTCTTCT